GTCAAAAAGGGTTTTCCAAATGGTCTCTCTTTGTCACCTTTACCAGATTTTTATCCTCCATTGTAGAAACGTGCTGTTTAATGTTGCGTTTCAAATCATTTTTGGCTGAAAAAGTGTGTAATGGAATCAGGGTGTCCCCTGAATACTCCTTAACAGTAGGAGATGCCTCTTTGTTTTGAACACCAGAATCCCAATAGACCCATGACAGCAGTGAAATTACACTTTTGACCTTGTTCACTAAAGTGTTTCTTTCTCTGTATGATTAAATGAGAGTAACCAACAATAGCTTTCTCTAAAACGTATGAGTTGCCCTGTTTTGTTTCTTATAAGAAACATAGAAAGGATGCTGTGCAATTCTTGGCTGATTGTGTTCACCAAAAAAAAAAAAAGCCCTCCTTTGCTTCAAGGAGGGGTGCTTGCTTTATCTCTATTAAAAATGCAAAAGCAATTGATGTATTGAAATTTTTCCTAAAGCAGCGTTGTTGCTATGTCTTGCCTGTGGGAACACCACTACAACGCAGTAGCAGATTTTTACCCTTGTGTTGCCTTATTCACCACATACTTTAAAAGGGTATATATCCTCAAACACCAAATTTTGCTTTAAAGCATCAACTCTGCATATAGAAAGTAAACATGTTCTTAATGGTCTGTGCAAATGTTGAAATACATTCGGCAGTCTAGTTGGTCACTATGGAATACACAATTATGTCAATCCAAAAGATAAATGCATTTTTATGAAGATTTTCTTTCAGCCTTTTAAGCTCTGGATGTCTCTTTTCCTCTGCCTGTGACTGAGAGGCTGTAGCCTGTTGCAGAATTTGCTCTGACCGTCAGTACCATCTTATGCACTAAGGTGCTGGCACATCACTTGCACGGGTTTAGCTGTTCAGGGCCTGGATCTTTCTGGATCAGAAACACTTGGAACAGAGTGAAGTGGCAGGAAAAGAGATACAAAAACAGATTTGTTCTGTTCCTTTCTCGACTACTTCAGCTGTGCTTTGGCCTTTTTATTAATTACCAGCTCCAAATTAGTGAACTAACTTTCAGTGTGCAGTCCGCGTATCTATGCAATGAGAAGGTAAGCGCAGTCCTGCGCTTGGGGACCTTTTATTGGGCGTTAAGTGGTGGGGTTCGGAAGAGGGGGAGAGGACGGAGTGAAATTTATAGATTATGTTTCTAAGGGGGATCAAAGTAAGTGACTTAACTCTTGAGGCCACTGAGGCCACTAAGAGCAGTCTGTGCTGTTCGTTTGCGTGCTGCGAGGTGGTGGTGTGCCGAGAGGGCTTCACCACCGTAGAGCCTGAAGGGCAAGGCACTGAGGGGTGCAGGTCTGTGGCTCCTGATTTCCTTTCGTGCCAAAAATAACTCTGCTTTTTTTTTTTTTTTATTACTTCTTCATTGCTGAGATAAATTAATGGTTGGTATGGGTCTGAAGTAACCTTGTCATCAAAGAATATTTTGTTACTGTTGACATACTTGTTCCCTACGAGCATGAATCATCCAGCTTGCTTTGGCAGGCTCGCCCTGTGGCTGTGCTATAATGTGTCTCACCAGTGTGGTTGAAATTAAAATGTCACTATTAAACATGGCAGAATCAGATGCTCTCTGGGCACTGCATCTCTTCAAGTTCTCCAGCTTCCTACGTAGCTATTTCTGACAGTTTAATAGGACAGCTGTATTCTGGTATAAAATAATACATTCATATTTCCACAATGCACGGGGAGCTAAACGCTTTCGAAGGGCTGTGTTTCATTGCATACGTGCATCTTCCATTGCAGAAGCAGCAACGCTCCTGTAACGCGATGCCGTTTGTCGTCCGCTAGGAACTGTAAAATCAGAATTAATTGTCCCACAGAACGGGACAACTGGAGTGGCCCTTCAGAGGCGGTGGCTGGCATGTCCTTAATTCCCACGCCAGCCAGCTTCCCTCCGTGCGAGCGGTCCTTAACGTTGCTGGGCTGTTGAAGTCGGGACTCGGGAGGCTGCTCTGTGGGGAGAGCGTTGGGACTGTGCTTGGCAGCTCAGTGCTTCAGCTCCAGCACCGCGAGGTCACTGCGAGGGCAGTGCCGTCTCCAAGCCCAATTAAGGCCTGATTCAGCGTCTCTTAAGTCACAGGAAAAAAATCCTACCGCGTACAGCCGCTCCTGGAGCGGGGCTTTTGCGCCCAGCCTCTCCGGTGAGGCTGCCAGCAGATAAGTCCGTTTTTGTCATATAAACAGTCAGAGCGATCTTTTTGCTCTCGTGAGACTGCTAAATAGCTGGTGTGGGAAGTCGGAGGCCGACAGCAGGGTAACGAGCCCACCGGAGATGAATTCAGAGCAGCGACCTGTGTATCTATGTCCCTATCCCTCCTATGTCCCTATCCCTCCTCTTACTAATATCTAGAGCTGTCTAATTCCTCAGACCAAATCGTTTGACTCTTATGAGCAGTTGTAACTCTCAAGTTAAAGTCTAACCACTGGAAGTATTAATGAAAAACATAAAACTGAGGCTCTATTTTATCAGGTATCAACATCATTGCTTTAATTCCCCCCAGAGGTTTTTATGCTGGGTTGTACTTTTCATCCCAGGTGGCTGCAAGTTCTGGTGAAAATAAGTTAAGCCATGAAAGGTTGACCCCCTCGCCTCTGAATTGCTTTTTATATGATGTTAGTCCCTCAGGGCCCAATTCTACCCATAGAAGTGAGAAGGATAACTGTCAGCGTATATAGGAACTATGTCAGTGTGCACAAAGGAAAAGCTGAGTCCCAAACTTGTGTGAGTGCTCTTGAAAGCACAGAGTTCTCATGAAATGGTGATTAGTGCAGAGGCAAAGAATAATTAAAAAATTAGCCTGGCCTACTAGCTGTTCCATCCATGTGTGTGTTTATACTAGCTCTTTCAGATGAACGTGGGACCTATAGCCTCCTTACAACTGTCTTAAATTAGTATGTGGCAATTTGGTTACCATCTGATCAGCTCCTTTGATCAGTCTAGCCGAGACTGTTGCCAGAGTGCTTGTCTCTGTGTTAAACCCACGGCCCCTTCCTTATTCAAGTGAATCAACTTACACATGAAAAGGCTATAAAACCTGGCCACTGTCTTTGAGTAAGTGGCTGTAGTTCAAAGCTGAATACCTTAAGAACTGCCAAAAAAACAACAAAAAAAAAAGCAAAGCAAAGATGTCATTGCAGAAAATAGGTAATTGTGTTCTTAGTTCATTTTTAAATAAACTCAGAGCATCAGCATTGATGATCAAGCCTCCAAGTGTGCTGTTAAGGCTGAAGACCACTTTTTGGCAAACCTTTATTATTTTTAATCAGATTGGCATTTTTTTTTAGCCTATAATGCATTCAGATCTCATAAAGGGGGAAAAATTCCATCAAAAATTCTGCACAAATTTGTCTCAAGAGATTAAAGAGTTTTAACCACCATGTCTGTCTTGTTTCATGCACAGAAAATTGTTTTTAATTGGAGCAGAGGAGGGCCAGTGGGAGCTTGCAGTATGTAGGCTGCACTCTTGCCTCCTGTAATCACTACACAGCATCATTTGCAAAGGAGTGTTGCAAGTCCAGAAGCAGTAAACTTGTTATCTGTCAAAGAGCAGCTGTTTTCTCCCATCACTAGACCCTTTTCCCAACCCTCCTGGTGCAGCCCAGTCTTGTACCTGTCTGTTTTTTGCCACTTGAATCTTAGAAGTGTGGACGATTTCTTTCCTCTTCAGTAATACTCCTTCCATTTGCATACTAGCAATATTAGGTGATGATTTGGAAAGTGTTTTAATCCAGTATTGTATCCAGAACACTTGGGAAGTTATGAGTTTGAAGTTGCGCAGTGCCACTGATTTTGCAAAGCTGGTTTGTACGCGGGCTGATTTCTACAAGACACCTACGTTTTTGAATTTAGAACTTAAGTTTTTAATGGTCACGTGTCTGCAGTATTTCTTGGTTGCGTTGCAGTGCCATTAGAAAGGAGAAGATGTAAAATTTCTGAATCTGAATTGAAGTGACAGTTATTTGTTTTATTTATTTAAAACCAAATTCTGTGGTAATTGAAGGGGAGAGTTGGTACACTGCTAGTACCCAAATGCTGAATTGATCTGCAGATGGGTGGGGAGCAGCTCCAAATCGGGTGTAAAAACCTTTGAGAGGAAATATGCGTCATCCAGCTGTTCTAAAGCACCAAGCATTGCTATCTGTACAGAACTGCATAAATAATAGAAAAGTAAGAGAATAAAATGTTGTGAGTGAATACCTGACCAGTAAATACGGCAGGAACACTGAGTAAATTCTTCCCCCTTGAAACTGCATTTCAGCCAGTGGGATTGCACCAGGGAAGTATCGGACCATATTTTGCATGCAACATAGCAGATTTTTAAGAGGCAACAGACAGATATTTGAGAGAGTTTTCTTTGTGCCGTTTGCAGAAATGTGGGTGAAATCTTCTAGCTGATCTATAGTCATTTCGTTACTTGTCGTCTTTTGGCAGGTAGCTAGTTAGACTTGCGTTAAACAGGATTTGCTTTGCCATTTCCATTTGTTGTTAGACTAGAAATGTTCTGACATGACACATGACCAGTCAATAACTGGCAAGTGGCTTGCATGAGTTATTTGAACCATAGTTTAGACAGTGTCAGCCGCAACTGGGATTAAAACCTGCAGAGTTGTTCTACAGTCAGTGATTCTGCAGCATCTCCTCTGGGTGTCTGGATTTCACTAATAAGGATACCCTGTAGACATCAGCTGAAATAAGTCTTGCCTTTGTTGCTTCCATGTTTGTGTGAGCTCTGAAATGAACTTGGCATATACAAATGTACTGTGTTGTTTTTCAGCCTAAAGGATGCAGAGCAGGAATTGTTATTCTGTTCTACTGATAACTTCAGTAGAAAAGAAATGACTTGATTTTACTGTGGCTCTGCAGAGAATAAGCATCTGACTGTACCTCATGGTTTTCTCCTGTTTTTTTTCTGTTTTTTTTCTTTTTTTTTTCCCTCTACTGATGAGGCTTTATTCCAATTACAGGGCTATAATAATCCGAAATGGTGAAGTCATCCCAATGTCTTCAGAATTCACTCCAGAGACTGAACGCCAGCGACTTCAGTATCTGGTAAGAGACCTAAGGACCAAATCAGCTGCTGCTAATTACAAGCTTTGTTCAGTAATACCTGAGGGTCAACACATGCCGCTGAGTTACTGTGGCTCAGAGGAGGGCCACA